GGCATGCAGGGACAGAACAGCCATCCCTGCAGTTTTCATATCAGCCTTGCCCCACGCTCCTGTCTCTGCTCCACTTGCCCTCCTAGGCTGCTCCCAGAAGAAGCACAACACCTATGCAAGGCACTGAGTAGGGCATAAGGGGCTTCAGAAAGCATCAGCCTGGAAACATCACCCCTTCTGGCCTGGCTCACCATGGGGCAGATGAGGCTCTCCCTGTTGTACACAGTCCCCCAGGTGGCAATGCCAATGGTGACAATGTCGCCTTCCTTGTAGCTGCAGCTCAGGACAAAGTCTCGTACTGCCTCTCCCACCTGTTTCATCACACCAGCGTGGGACCCTCCCGTGATGATCCAGGCCCCTAGAGGTCAGAGAGAGGCTTGGGAATGGAGAGACCCTGCTCACAGCAATCTCTTAACATCCCACTGTACGGCTGCAGGAGCAGCCAGTCCTTGAAGATGCTCCACCCCCCAGAAGATATTTTCTCTGCTTTTTGCATCAAGCCCTGCCAGCACTCAAGGGGCTTTCTGAACAGTGCAGCATGTCTTACCAGTGGTCTGGGCCACTTTGACTAGCCCTTGCCGGAAGATATTCTTTAGCCTTGGCTTCATTATGAAGTTTTTGGCTCCACCAGTGACCGAGATGAGCAGATTGGGTGCATCAAGACCCCAGTGCTGTGTCATGAGATGATAGATGACCCGTGGAGGAGTATCAGAAGAGACACGCACATACTGTAAAAAGGGAGCACATGTATTTTGGGTAGAAAGAATTCGGCTGGGCAGCAGAGCAACTCCATCACACTTCCTCCTGTCCCAGCAAAGAAATGGGGACTTTCCATACCACTTCCTGGCACAGGTCTCTTGCTGTTGCCCTAGCTTTTAGTGCATGACCCTATTCCATACCACTTCCCTGGGAGCTTGCATCTCCATGATTGCCTAAGTACCTGAACAGGGAACAGCCATACCTTGGAGCATGGGCCTCACAGCATGGAGACCAGTCTTACTATTTCAGAAAGGGACAGGGTACAGAGCTGAGAGAGAGGAGGGATGTTGTCCCATCCATATTTCTGTGCATGAATCAGTGCTGCCTTTGGGGCATTTCCATGCTTTCCTAACCTCCTCTCATCAGGAGGGAAATACTTGCACTTCATCTTCATGGACAAGATTTGAACTCTGACTCCCATTGTACCACAGAGGGGAGAAACAAATCACCTTTCCTGTCTTCTGTCCCAGGCCTGTGAAGTGGATGTCACCAAAGGCATCTGTTGGCATTTCCTGGATGTGCCTGCTGGGGTCCCACTCCTTCCCCAGGAAGAGGGGAGGTTTGGCAGCATCTTCCAGGTGCTGTTCCCTGAGGTAGCCACACTCGCACACCACCCTCCTGCAATGTACACCACCAGCTCCGTGGGAAGCGAGCCAACCCCAAAGGACAAAGCCTCAGTGGTTCACCTGCCTCAGCCCAGCTGGGAGGTGCTGGCATCATCATTAAAGCACCACAGGCACCAGCACCTCCCACCCAACCTGACTTCCAGCTCAGAACTTACGAAGAAACAAAGGCTTTTTCTAGCAGAAAACATAGCAAACATTGGTATTTCCATCTATGGTGGCTTATGACAGAAATTGGAAGGTTGCACTGGATAAAGTATGAATGGAAGTGACTGCATGGCAAGCATCAGAAGGATAACTGCCTGGAAAGCTGGCTATCGACCATGCAGTGCCACAGAGCAGGGTGAAGGAACATAGGCAAAAACGACTTTGTGAATTCCCTTGGTACCAGTTCCCCTAACAGAAAGGTGGGATTTTCTAGTGAGGTAGCTTTGTCCCCAGATGTTCCTTTTGTTCCCAGGCAGGGGAGGGGAAGGAGGGACAGTCTGACTTACCCAGAGTCTGAGGTCTGGGAGCTTTCCACGAAGTACGTGCACTCTTTCTTACGGATGTTTTCAGGAATCCATGAGATGAGATTTTCCTGAGGGAGCAGGAAGAGCAGTGAGGGGTCATTGTTTCTGCAAAGGGTCAGAACTTGCACCAGGGGCCAGACACTGAGACACTGGTGCCTGGAGCATACTTAGGGCTTTATTAGTGCTCCCCCCAGCCTGAGACTCCTTACTGATGTGTCCCAGGACAACTATTCTCCCACCACGTATGGCCAGCTCTCACCTCTTCCAGCTCCAGACCCCCAACTTGCCTTCTCATTGCTGCCAGAGGGGAAATGTGCCTTCCGCTGGCCCTTGCCAATGCTGCTGCTGCTCTGCTGGAGGTTGGGGACCACCTCGAAGTCGCTCATCTCCCTGGGGTGTGTGGCGGGGCCGTCCCCTGTCTCAGGGCACACTTTGTTCAGCTGGGAGGGGAGCACCTTGGTGTGCCGGCCATGCACAGCCATGGCTGCTCCTCTCTCCTGTTCCTAAGAGGGGAGGTGCTGCACATCTCCATCCTGAATGCAGCAAAGGAAAAGGATCCACGTGAGCTGAAGGCAGTGCTGGGGCAGAAAGGGCTGCGGTTAGACAGTGAGCACAGCACTCCGTTAAGGCGGTGGCAAAGCAGTGGGTCAGCAGGCCTGAGTTTAACGAGGATTTTGGCTGCCAGCCGAACCCTGCATCACAGCCAGAACGATAGGGCTGGGAGGACTTCCCTGTGTCAGGAAGGAGCGGTGGAGCAGAATAATGGCTGCACTGCACTCAGATCCCCTTCCCCCAGGCTCAGCTCTGCTGCAGGCGAGGAGCAGCCAGGAACCCACAGGGTAGCACTCAGAAAAGTGTCCTTAAGGGCCTGGGGACAACGGCAGAGTGCAGGTTGCCTGCCCCCAGCTCAGCTGCAACACTGCAGGAAGCGTGCGGCCCCTCACCCTGGGGTCACCCCTCACCCAAGCAGGATAGTCACAGCACCTTGCAGGGTCAGGGATGCAATGCAGGTGCTGCAAGCAGCCTGCATACCATGCCAGCCCCCCACCCTGCTCCCCACAGACACAGCCGTACCTTCCCCACAGCATCCTCCATCTGCATCACCAGCTCCTCCACTCCATGCTTGCCACTGGGATGTCAGCCTGCGATGTCCCTGTGGCAGGTCATCTCGTCGCTCGAAATGCAGCGGTGAGTGGAGAACAGGGCAGAGCTGCCTGCAAGCTGCCTGCAGAGAGGAGGAGAAGGCAGGGCGGCTGGCAGCCTCCCAGCAAATCAGGCTGCAGCAGCAGTCCCTGTGCTCTGCTGGAAGCTGCAGCACAAAGGCGAGCCCTGAGTCTGCCTGAGTCACGCTTCTCCTGCAGTCTGGGGGCGCTCAGCAGCCCAGTGCCGGCAGCCTCTTGGGTCGTGCCGTGGGCAGGCTGGGAAGGGAGATACTGCCAGTTATCCATCACAGGCACAGCCCTCAGATCTGCTGGCTGAAGCTGTGTTCGCTCCTTCATGTTGCAATGGGTTGAGATGCTGGGGCAACGCATTGAGCGAGCACACAGTCTGAGTGAAAATGTGGTGTTTTGGCCACATCCTATAGCTCCTTCTTAGCCAAAGCATGTAAGTTAGCATCAGCCCTCTGTGCAGTGGGGGTTTTGTCATTTCCTTGAACAAGAGCAAACTGCTGAGATTTGCTGGAATAACAGATGCCATTAATAAGGCAGTAAATAAAATCCATGTGCAATGTTTTACAGATCAGTTGTAATTAATGCTGCACTGCCAAAAGAAAGGAAGCCAGGACTGCACAATAATTACACATTAATGCAACTGTTCATCCGCTCTCAGCTGGCTGGCTCTCTGGAGACAGTGGTTTTTATTGCATTTTTGTGTATGCCAAAACCACTGTGGCCCAGTGGGACCCACGTGGAACCCTTGTACGCCATGTGAAGGACTGCAGGCATTGTGAGGGGATCAGTAAGCATTTAATCACATAGTAATTATGTCTGCCAATACCAGGTGAGGCCTGTCTACATGCTCAGGAGCAGAGGACAGTGCAGCAGTGCATGTGGTTGCCTGCAGCTGGTTCTCCCTGCAGGATCCTGCATTGCCACAAGCTGTCTTTGATGGCAGTGTCCCGTGGGGACTTGCGTTGTGTCCATTGTACAGTGGTGGAGCTTGGCAGGGCTATGTGCCCCACACACAGGCAAAGAGCTGCAGAAGTGTGAGTGGAAATGCTCAACCACTGCTTCTGTTGAAGCTGTGGCTCCAGCTCTGTGTCAGGATGGACTCTGCCCTGAGGCCAGGTCTCCAGGCACAAGATGGCGGCTCTGGGCACTAGGCACAAGATGGCGGCGTTGGGTCCTCAGCACAAGATGGTGGCTCTGGGCCATTGGCACAGCAGCTGCTGGGCCCTGGTAGTAACACAGCACTGGATGCAGCCTGAGCAGCTGTGCCAGTGCAGGCCGGCAAGCTGAGACAGATGGAGCAGGGCTTGGAACATCCCTCTGCAGAACCCCTGCTCTGTGCATTGGTGACCCCCTCTGGGCCCAGTACCAGTCTCGATTTAAATAGTACGTAATCACTTCAGTAATAAAATCAGGCCTTTTCACTCATGCTCATATTCCTAACAGTCTGGAATGTGGCTCTGCAAACGTGATGGAAAATGATGAAAACAACACCAAGAAGCTTTTCTTCTCCTGGGGACAATACACCAGTCTGGTGTATTAAGGTGAGCCTGAACCCAAAGGTGCTGACCATCCAGACTCCTCATCATCAGGTGACAGGCATGGCATCTGCATTACATTTCAGTGCCCCCAAAATCTGTGTTAGGTCACACGCATCTTTGTAGAGGAATTGCTCTCACTGCATTCTGCATGTGTGGTCAGTCTTGTAAACCCAAGGAATGGAAAGCTGGTGTTAACCCACTAAGTAACTCCTGACCAGCAGATGCATGCTGACACATAAATGCTTTGGTGTCATTTTTGGTGTCATGCAGATTCACTTAGGAGATGTCAACAAAGTAAAAACCTTAGAGTGTCAACATTCACCATCTCATATTCACAACCCAACCCGCTGGTGCTGTGGATTGAGGAGGAGCTGGGGAGATCCTCAGAAGGAAACATCAGAGAAAGAGCCATAGGGCATAACAGCCTTTATTGAGCACAGGGAGGGGCACCCCAATAAAGCGAGTCTTCCTCCGCACTGCTGCGCCCTCAGTACATGCAGGGGAAGAGCCAGGCATTAGGGCTGGAGTCCCCATCCCCTGCCCTGTGAGGAGCAGCACTGTGTGGACAGCAGGACAAGTGCCATCCCCTGTGCCGTGGATCTGTTGGACCCCTGCAGCCCTGCAGCCGGTAGCTGGTGGGGGGCAAGCAGTGGCACATGGGGAGGTCCGAAGTGGGGTGCTGCCAGCTGTGGGGACAGGGACTGTGCTTGTGGAGGTGGTGTGGTGGGGAGGGAGCACAAGGGCAAGTGCCCCGGTGCAAGGCAGGGAGTGTCTGCCTGTTCCCACGGCACTGATGGGGTTGTGGGGGGGTTTGCAGGCCTGCCAAGGGATGCTGTGACGCCCGGTGACACTGTGGTACACGGGACCGTTGGCGGATCTGGCCATGCCCCTCAGCTGTATCCCCTGCCCTGGGATCCCATGCTACTCCACACGTGAAGCCTGGCTCCCTCAAGGGGATGCGAGGTGGGGTCCGCCCCCTAAACAGTGGTGGTGAGGGGGTCCGGACCCAGAATGGGGCTGCATTTTCAGGGTGTGTGTTTTCTTCATCCTCCGACATCAAGGGGAACCAGCTCTGAGGGAAGAGGGGGCAAAAATCAATCCCTTCTCGTACTGGGGGCGGGACAGAGGCGGGCACCCCCATGTGGGAACTCACCTGCCTCTCCCTCCTCTGTGCACCGAAAACAGGGGGTGGCAGGACAGCTGGGGGGCTTGGAGTCTGAGGGAGGGAAAGTGCAATTGGCAGCAGGGACAAAGAGGTGGGTGGTTAAGAGCAAACGTTTTTTGGGAAAAACAGTTCTTTGGGTCACTCACCTGAGCAACTGCTTGCAGCGGGGCACGGCAGCGGCAGTAGTGCAGTGCTGGGTCCCTTCTTGGCCTTGGCTGAGGTGGCAGCTCTGGTTCGGGTGTGCAATGCCTTACACGGGGGTGAGAGATGGGGGAGTGTGCAGCGGGTGTGGACCTGAATGGCGGTGGGGGGGTCTGGACCCAGAACTGCGGAGCTGGGTTTTCAGGATGTGCATCATCCTCATCCTCTGACATCCAGGGGAACAAGCTCTGTGGAGAGGGGAGCATAAATCAATTCCTCCTGATATGGGGGATGGGGTCACCCCTGTTTGGATACTCACTTGCCTCTTCTTCGTCTCAGTGTTGAAAGCGGGAGGAGAGAACTGGGATGGAGAAGTTGGTGACTGCAGGAGGAGAGCAAGTTTGGCAGCAGGGAAAAGACAATATCTGGAGAGGCATCACCTCTTTGAGGAGAGAAAAAGGTGTTTGGGGGAAACAATGTTTTCCGGGGCACTCACCTGAGTGATGGCCTGTGGGGGTGTGGGGGGGTGGCTGTGATGGAGTGCTGGGTCCCTGCTCTGCACGGGCTGGGGAAGCAGCTCAGCTTCAGCAGTGCTAAGCCCTGGGGGTGGCTGGGAGGCAGGGGGCAGCACAGGGGGCTGTGCGTGGGAGAGTCCCCCTGCGGCCCCCACACTTTTGTGGGGAATGAGAGTGGCCAGGTCAGGCAGGGTGTGGTGATGCTCCAGCAGGACGGCCAGCAACGCACGGCGTCTCTCTTCTGCCAGCACGCGTCCCCAGAACTCGGCGGGCTGTGGCAGAAGGGCACACAGGCGGGCAGCCAGCCCCCGGGCAGAGGTCACGGCACTGAAAGAGTCTCTGTCACCAACCGCCTTCTCCGAGGGGTTTTGTGAAGGAGAGGGTGACCTCTGCCCTTCCTTCTCCATCCCCTTGACAGGCCGGGGGGACTCCGGAGGCCCTGTGAGCTCCTCAGCAGGGAGCCGTGGGGGGGTCTGTGCCCCCTGCCCACCCTCCAACAACCGCTTGATGTCCATGGAGGCCACCCCCCGGCCGAGGAGCCCCCGGGGACGACAGAGGCGCTGCTGGGTGATGATGACGGGCCGGGGGGGCGGCAGGGGGCTGGGGGGGAGCTGGGTTGCGCGGGGCTGAGGGAGGCCGATCCAGGGGTGCCTCCCCCCCCTCCACCTGGCACCACGCAGGCTGGGGCCGAACTTGGCCCGGTTGCGCTCGCCCCTGGTCTTGCGGCGCTTAACGCGGCCGGGCCCGGCCTGCGGCTCTCGGACGGCGTCCCCGGCGTCCCCTCGGCCTCGCTGCTGGCTCATGGCTGCGCCTCGGGGGAAATAGTGCGGCGCTGGATGACTGCAGCGGCACCGCTTCCCGCCAGGCCCCGCTCACGGCCTGCCCCCCGCCCGCCGCCACCCGCACGCTCCGCCAACGGCCGCCAGGCCGCGCCCTCCCGCCGCAACCCCGGTGGGCGGGGCCGGGCCCGGCTGCACGCGCTCCTCGTCCCGCCGCTATTGGGCGCCACCAGCCGGCTGCGGTGGGGAACGGCGCGGATTGGCTGCCGGCCGAAATGGCGGCTGCGGATTGGCTGCGGTGGCCTGGAGGGGCGGGGCGTTTGGTTCCACTGTGGCCCTTTGTGGCAGCAGAGGGAGCCAGAGCCTCGCGCCCCGCTGCCCGCCGTGCCGCGGCCCTGCAAAGCTGTCCTGGCCAATACTGGCAAACAGTGCATTCGAGTCAAGTTCGGGTGCAAACCAGGTGCAAAATGTAACGTGTAGGACGTGGGCTTGAGGGCACGATCATCTAATGATGAACTACTTAGCAATACCTGCTTTGTGTTCAACTGGAAGCACCAAGGAATTTCAGCATGTAAAAGCCAACAAAACTGTTTTAAAGATGTTGATTTGTTAAGTTTTGTTTACCTTTTATCGCAGGTTTACCTTTTCTAGCAGGTTTGACTGGAGCTTTGCACATGAGCCCTAGCTAGGACCTTGAATCTTCTCCTCTGTGCAAAGAAAATTGCTCAGCTCATAAGGTGGGCAACTGCTGCTCCATCTTGGGATGCTGTCTGATGGCCCTTATCCTTTCAGTCTTTAAACAGCAAGCATTTGAGTCAGAAAAATAAAATTTACAATACTGGGTAACCCAGCCTTGTTAGAAAACTCAGAGTCTCAGAAAAGCGGAAGCAGAGCTTAAAGTAAAGAAGGTGGAACTAGGAATGCCTGAAAGACTGAGGCCAACTCAGACCTAAGGAAAGCGTATTTCAATCACATGGATCTCCTTCTGATGAGTGCAATTTGGACAAAGTTGCTGGAGGAAATAATCAAGCACTTGTTTCTCAGGGATGTTCCCTGTGTCACAGCTGTTGGTTGTTTCTGATGTGCAAAAGTGCTGCAGCCTTGCAGAGAACATTTTGTCTGTTCAAACCAAAGACAAAGCACATCAAATGGAACAGAAAGTGCCATTTGGTTTTAAAATAAGTTCTTGCAGAGCTCTGCATGCATGTGCTTTTGCCTATTGATTAAGGTGTATTCTGTTCCTTAAAACAATCTACAGTTCCTTTTAGTGCCTGTAGGACTACACCGATTTGTGCAACATCAGTCTAATAGAGCTATTGTGGAAACAAAGGCATCTGTAAACTTGATTTTTCTAATTCCTTTTCCTTCTTTCTTTCTTTCTTTCTTTCTTTCTTTCTTTCTTTCTTTCTTTCTTTCTTTCTTTCTTTCTTTCTTTCTTTCTTTTTTAGTTAATTAACAAGGAGAACTGCTTTGCTCCACGGAGGCTGGCTCTGTGAATCAGCCCCTCAGAAATGAGATGTGCAGAAGGCAGGATTCTGGCACTGGTTCTTCCGGGACCCACTGGGGAGCAAGTCGTACAAACAACTGCTGTGCCCACACTGCGTGCCTCTGTTCTGAAGAGGATGTCCTCAATGCTCCTATTGATTTCTGTCTCTGACAGAGCTGCCTGAAGCATGTGGGATTTTCTGGCTTTGAGAGCTATTTACGAAAAATACACCTTGATTGGATCCTTTGGGGACAGGTTGGTGGGATGCGTTCGCTACCATTAGCTTCCTCAGTATAACCAAGCTTGAATGAATTAATGGCCTTTTCTGAAAAACATCTTCAGAATAAGGTGCTTGGAGAACTTGCTGCCAGCAATAGTGGTAACAGTCTTTGGAACTAATGGGCCTTTCTGGAAAATTAAAAATACTGACTGGCAAGGTAGTGGTTCTTATTCCAAACTAAGTAGAAATGAAACTGCTGAACTCTTCCAGCAGTTGCTTTCTTAAGTGCTACAGTACCTACTGGAATATGTGGTTGCTGTTGTGTCAAAACTGCATTTGTGGGCACCGTGGCACTTCCAGTTACTTCCTATCAGTGGGAGAACTTCCAAGGCAGCAGCCATTAGTAGAAGGCTCTGCAAGCTGAGCAGTGCCATCACTTGTGCTGAGCAGAGTGCCATGGCTTTGGTTTCACTCTGGGTAAAGTCTGAACAAAGGGACATGGAGCAAAAAAGAAAGGGGAATGTGGAATGCTTGTGGTACATGCTGCAAATCAGTGCACACTCTGCTTTTCTTTGGCCCCAGGAGATGTGCTGTGTTGTGTGCACAGTCATTGGAGATAAGCAATGAACACCTGGAGCAGTGCTCAGCTCTCCTCTAGTCCAGTGCTGTGTTTAAGAAAGGATAAGAAAATAAAGAAGGTGGAGGTGTGGCACTGCCCCATCTCAGTGTATGTCAGTGTGAGTCTCAGCGGTTAGGGGAGGCCACTGAAGACCATCCAGTGTTGTAGTAGACCCTGCTGTGACCTGAGTGACCCTGATAACCTCAGTGACTGTGTCATCCTCCCACAGCACCTCATTAATTCCTGCAGGGGAGAGCTGCAGGATGGGGCTATGTCAGTTGCAAAATTATTTTCCCTCATCGTCACCCAAAGCATGTTATCATGTACTTCTCATAGCCTGCAAAGCCCTAGCTGTGTATCATAATCAAATAAGCTGTGCAGGTCCATGGACCTGAGCACAAGGCTGCACCAAAGGGCTCCACCAAGCAAGGGACATGCCTTCTCACACCAGCAGCTTCCATAACCCCGGTGAGTGGGGCAGAGCTGCTGACTGTACGTGGGTGATGCAGGGACCCATCCTGCACGAATAAGAGGAGGATTAAAGCTTTTTGAAGACAGAATAGGTTTTGCTTTCATAATATTTTTCTTTTCAGCCTCCACATGGGTTGGCACAGCTTAGTGTGCTACAAAGCGCTCTTTATTTTCCTTTGCTCAGAACATCTCTAATTAATTCTTGGCAGGACTATCGAACTCTGCATGTAGATAGGAAGAAACTCCAGCAAAGCTGGGTCCTCCTGCAAGGCCACTCACTTGGTTCTTTCCATTCCAGGCCTTTGAGTGAGCAGGCAGGCTTTCCTTGCATGATCTTCATACGGCAGACAAGTGGCTGTGGTATAGCAAAGGCACCAAAAGTCAGGTGCCACAGATGCAGTAGGGAAGTGCAGCAATAAGCAGTCTCTAGAATCGCAATGGATAAATGATTTCTGTAGGCTCAGAATAAAGGCAGCTGAAAGATTCCAGCTGGTGGGGAGCAGAGGAGCTTGTTTTACCTTACGGTCTGAAGGCTGCAATACACTCACTGTCAGCAGGGACCTGCTTTTTTGTTTTATGCAAACTAATTGGCTCCGGTGGGCATTTGGTGCATATGTGCATTTTAAGTCCTGGGTTTTAAGGATTCAGAGAAGGCCAGAGAAGGCATTTAGTGTTTAATGATTTTGTGAAGAAGGAATTCAGTAACCTCTTCACAATTTGCACAAATAACATTTCTAAAGTTTTACTTTTCCGGAGAGAGGGGAAGAAATTAAGATGGTCAGGAAAAGTAGTAATAATCTGAGTTTGATCCTGGATTTTCTTCATTTGTTTTCAAAATATCAAAGTGCCACCGCTAAAGTTGATTCAAAGATCTTTTTTTGTGCACAGTGTAGAAATATAATGCAAATGTGAGCAATTAAAATAGCTATGTGAAGGTGACCAAACCAGATTGGTGTATTAACTCAGTGACGTTTCTCCCCTTTCCCCCCACCCTTCCTTACACAGTGCTGCTATTTTACAGCACCAGAAATCCTTTTGGGTTTTTGTGGCTGACTCAGAGCTCCAGACCTCTGCTATTGAAAGAAGAAGAAAAGGGGAGGGGAAGAGAGGTAATTTCTAGAGTGAACGTAAATCAACCACAATTTAAAATATTTCTGAAAACACTTCACTCTGTGTCAGTTCAGAGAAGCCTTTTGGGTTTATGCCACCTAAAAATCAATGCCATTTAATACTTCAGTAGTTGTTTTTTTTTTAATACTCTGTGATGCAGTTCAGAAGATGTAATGCAATATAACTGGATCTTGTTATGACTGAAGTAATAACTAGACTTTATTTTGGAATAGATTTTTCTAATAAAAGATGAAATGATATACTTTGCATAATTCCTCATCTCTTTTAATGATCTCCAGCTGTACAGATTATTTTTCAGAAACAAACAGTTGCTTGCCGAAAAGATGAAATGTATTGGCTTCCTTTTCTTCTGGATGCTGATGAACATAATAACAGGTAAGACTTGTTATATTTATTCATGTTGATTTTTCAATATAAAAATATTTTCACACTAAAACAGTGTCTTCTATTTAGTATCAGATATTGCCTGTATATTAATTGCAACTCCTTCCTGGCATGTTTGATTTGTAGTACTCTTGACTACAAATGGGCAATTCCTTACTCAACTGTTGGAGAAACAAAAATGTTAGAGTATAAGGAGGGCTCTAAATGTATCTTAAAGGAGTTGTCAGCATTTGTCTATGCACCAAAACTTTTGTTAACAGAAAGTTCTTCTGTGAGAGAGTTGGAACTGATGATTTTCCTGTTTATTTACAGATGCCCGATCAATCCTGGAAGGAGATGGTAATTTGAATATCTTTTTCTTTTTTATGTATCATTAACAATTCAAAGAGTCATTTGTAACTCCCTGAAAGAAGAGTGATTTTTTTTTTATTATTTTTTAAATGTGGAAAGCAAATACATTCAGTCCAATCATGAAGCTTCTATTCTTACAATCTTAAAATGAAAAAGCCAGACAGTAACAAGTACGATGACCACTTAAAGACAAGTCCTCCAAGGGGTTATGGTCAAGCCATTACTAATCTGTTTTATGAAAACATAACTGGAAAGCACCAGACTTATAATCATACAAGAGACTTCCGAGAATTCTGGCTGTCCTGATGAGCACTACTGGATGTTTGTCCAGGTATTGGCAAAAAATACCACAGCAAAAAGCTTAACATTTTCAGATTGCCACAAATCTGATGAAAGAAACGTTGGAATAAATCCCTTAGCACAGGCTCTGGGTGATTAGCCTATTGGATGAGTGTTTGTTTTTGATTAGGAAAAACCCTCAACATCCTAATGATATTTACAGTGGCTTACAGATAAGAATATGTAGGTTAGCCTTGGTTTGGTGTGTTCAGACAAAATTCTTTCTGAAAACAAAGTTGCATAGAAGGAATTCACATAACAAGATTACTGCTGTTGTTGGTGTACATGTAACCAGCAGCATCCTCATTCTCCTCATGCTCCATTTTTTTCCTTATGGCTCTAAAACCTTTTTGAATGCATGATCTCTGTTTCCAAAGTTTTTGGATTGAACACACTGTTTTACGTGCGCACAGCAAGTATTTCTTTGGCAACCCCTTAGGTAAGAGTGTGGCAGTCTGAAAATAAGAGTTTCTTCAGCAATGCCTTCTTCACTTTATAAACAATTGGGGTTTTCTTTCACACTGACCAAGCAGCAGACTGCAAAGTGACTCTAAGTTCAGCTGATACTAACAGTTCTCTTCTGCAGACAGCATTTGGCTGGCTTGTTTGGTTTGTTATATGCCATCTGTGACTGTGCAGTGTAGAATTTACAACAAGAAGGTCTGACACTAAGATTAAAGCTCTTAATTCCCACTGAAGACCCTGGTCTGAAACTGAGTCTGATGAATGGAATGATTACCTTTTATTTAAATGGGCTTAAAATCAAAATACTGGGTTTAGCTTTGCTGCACAGAAGACACTTGTCGCTATGTGGTTGCAGCATGTGTTTATGTTTTACAAGACTCCGTGTTGGCCTGGATTTGGGCCCGAGGCAGGTCAGCTCTTGGCATTTTCAGAGTTTATTTTGGTTCATCTCATCTTTGACTTTTATATTTGGCACAGAAGATAAAGTGAAAGAGCAACGGGGAAAAGGGCTTCAAATTCCCGTTCCTCCTTGCTTTTAAACACTCCCCTGCCTTCTGGAAATGAAAGCCACCTCGGCAATTCCTGAATCGCCGCAATGCTGTTGGTGTCCCTTCAGTCCTGCCCTCTGCCTTGTCCCATCTGGTGCCCCTGGGGTGGGACAGTGGCTGCACTCTGTGAAGGGAACGGAGGGTTCAGTGGCTGTGCCCACACCCTGCAGAGGGGAACTCCAAACGACACTGAGCCCAAGCTTTCAACAGAAATACTTCATGTTGTAATAATAACCTTTCTTGATTTATTTTAGATCGAGAACCTGTGGCCATGCCATACTGGCCCTTCTCCTCCAGTGACTTCTGGTCCTATGTGGAGTACTTCAGGACACTGGGAGCCTACAACAGGATTGCCGAGCTGGCCAGGGCCTTGTTTGCACAGCTGCCCGCAGGCAGCCACCTCGGCCTCCACCTGCCTGCACGTGAGGACTGAGCACTGCCCGCCGTCGTGCTGGGACACCACACCAACACGTGGCTGCTGCTGAGCAGCCCCTTCAGTAGCTTGCGGCCACGTGAATGGGCCTGTAGTGTGACATGCTTTAGAAAGCCGCAGGTAAATTAGCCTTTTCTTTTTGCAAGCTGTGCTTTTGTGCAAAGTCAATAAACTCCTTGGTCATATGGTGAGGTTTGGATTCCTGTTATCGTGCTGCTGGGCTTGACTCAGGAAAGCGAGCTCTGCTGTATGTGCAGTCATAGTGCTACCCTAAATCAGTCAATCAGAAAGCGAAGAGTCAAGACGGAACATTAGAAAGCAAACATTCTTTAAGGAGAGCTGGACGCACGGGGGTTTTCCTCCTATCATGCACCACTTACACAAAGTACCTTCAGTGTGTGCATGTTACTTGTGTTATGCATGCAGAAGCTCCCCAGAGGTAAGTTGCACTTCAGTGACCGATTCCCAGCAGGACCTCCTATTTCCTTGGTACAAAGACTCAGCAGAACTTCCTTGTCTCCTTGGCTCAGAGACACAGCCCCTTCTGTTGGCTACACAACCTGCAGGGCAAGCTTTACAATACTGTCACAACTTGTATCAAAACCATCACGGGGAGCAGAGCTCAGCACGGACCGCCTCCCCGCGGCCCCGCCTCCAGGGCTACCATAGAGAGGCGGCACCGCCCCACGCATAGAGCGGCGAGGCTGATTCCGGAAGTTGGCTCGGCGCGGCCGGAAGTAAGAGGGCAGAGCGCTGGGGCCGCCATGAAGCCGGCGGTGGACGAGATGTTTCCCGAGGGCGCCGGTCCCTACGTGGACCTGGACGAGGTGGGAGCGGAGGGGATGGGTGGGTAGAGACAGCGGGAGCTCCGGGAGCGGGCTCGAGGCACTCAGCGTCTGCTGTTCCAGGCAGGGGGAAGCACGGGGCTGCTGATGGATCTGGCCGCCAACGAGAAGGCCGTGCACGCCGACTTCTTCAACGGTGAGAACAGAAGTGCTCGTGTTGTTGTGTGGCAGCTGTGCGTTGCCCGCTGTAGTGGTAGTTTGTGTTGACTTTCTTGTGAGGGAAACTCTTGAAGCAGCCTCGCGGCAATGAAACTTCTTTTAAGAAAGGGATTTTTACAGTAAACCACAAATGCGAATGTCTGCAAAATGTATAAACTAATGTGCCTAACTGCTGTGACCGAAAGGCAGAGCTCTACAGGAGCTCTTGCCTCTTTCTGCGTGCTCAGAGTTACTGCTCAGAGTTAGTTCCAGAGCCTGCAGATTGTGACTGATTGCAATACTTACTTCGTGCTTGTATACGACCCCCTGCTTTATAAGACTCTGCTTTCATGAACTTAATTGCAAAACTTGCATTGTTATATGAGTTGCATTCATGTGTGGTAGTGAGCATGCTGCTCTGGTCTGCTTTTGTTCCTCTCTGCAGCCTGCCTCAATGTTACATCTGTAGTGACTGATGGTATGGTGGCTGCCGTGTACTTAATTCACCTTGACTTCTGTCTTTAATCTCAATAACAAGACCAGTGAAAGCTTGTGTGGTGTTTGCATATATAGCAGCTGAGATTTGAAATGTTAATTTTACTCTGTCTTGTTTTTCTGACTAGATTTTGAAGATCTGTTTGATGACGATGACGTCCAGTGAACTTAGTTGTGCTGCTGTGCTGAGATGTGGAGTTTTCTCTGGGATCGCCTGTGGTGTCCTTTATTTATTACAATGATTAGAACAGGAAAATTTTTCCTAGGGGGTGAATAAGAAGACTGTTAAAGCTGCCTAGGGAATGTGGAAGTCAGCTGGCTAAAAGTAACCGAGAACTGTGGACTGTTATTTCTAGATAGGTGTTTGTAGATCTGTCTTAAAATTGTACTTGCTGATGTGCTATTCAAAAAAAAACCAAAAACAAACAAACAAAAAACCAACAAAAAAACCCTAATGAAATCTGTGTTCTGAGTTGTTTCTTTTATTATTTTTATGAAATCATCCACTGTTACTTTTGGCTATTATATGCTGATATGGGGGAGGACATATCTCTGCCTAGAGGTGTTCTGTTCATCTCAGTGTATGGGATTATCTGCTGCTAAGATGATTACTTTTTTCAGAATAGGCTTTGACTCATTGCAGTAGGAAGAATTGAGGGTTTTGTCCAGTTTCAAGATTGATGTTCAGCTACCATCAGAGCTTTGTTTCAACCTAAGTAGCAGAGGAAAAAAAGTAGTTATTTTAGCGTTTTTTTGATTCAGGCTTTCATTTTTAGAAAAGTAGTTGTATGATATTACACCTTCCAGCGATCAAAATGATTCTCAGGATGAAAGGATCAGGGAGTTTTTAATGTATTATTTCAGAGTTAAGAACTCAATCCTTTCCTCTGTATTGTTTAGGATTAAAGTGAGGTCTAAATTCTATACGCTCATCACAGAAATAATTCTGTGACTGATCATTCTTTAAAGAGTTAATATTATCAATGCTCCAGGTGAAATTTATGTGCTAAACTGTATGGAGAAAAAAAAAAAAAAAGAAACCCTTTCTTTCCTTACCTCTTTCATATATTTTTGCCTTGTTTTTTCTTAAGAAAGAGGAGATTAAAAATATTTATTTTAGTCGTACATTTGCTGCTCTGGAGCAACGGTGGGAGCACAATGAGTAAGTAGAACTGTGTGCCTTTTTATTTCATTCTCGTGGATTTCTTGACCTCTTTTGTTTTGTCCTCCAAGGCAGTTTAAAGCAGCATTCTGGTATTTATTCTGCTTAGTGTCTGATGTCACAAAGTGATCCTTTGGGAAACAGGGTTGTGGATGCAGTCTCTTTTTTTTCTTTTTTAGATCTTGCTTTGCTTGATGAGGGAGGGATTTCAAGCTTTCCTCATTGAAACCAATATAGATATTGACTGCTTAGTGTTAGCAGCTTTGTTTGGATTATTCCTGTCTCTGGTGCTGTGCTTTCCCTGAACAAGGCTTTGGGAGGTGAGCTGTTACCAGTAAACAAACACTGCGTTCTGAGCGAGTGCCAAAACAGAAGAAAAGGCTTGAAGATACAGCTGTTCCCTTTTGTGTTGGTTTGGCTGCATGCATCTGCTGATGCCCAGATTCTTCAGGATAGTTGCCTTGGAGTACTGCTTTGCTTCTTTTTTTCTCCCCTCATTTGCCTTGTTAATTTAAATTTAAAAAATGTAAGTCTTCAAGTTTAATGGGATGATTTCCAGGGTACACATATTGTTAGTCATCTGGAGTATGAAGTTATCTCCTGTCCAATGAGACTGGAAGGAGAGTCTGTAACTTTCTTTTTCTAAAGAATTCTTAAAGTGTAAGAATTCTCATCAGGAACTGTAATTTCTTGGGTCCCTTTTGGGACAGTATTAAAATGGAAGGGCTAATTTGAAAAACAAAATGCCCTTGAGCTTCGAATTGTTTCTTCCTGTCAAGTCTCTCAGTCTGATTAGTCTGCAGACAATTAGCCTGTCATCAGGAGATAATTATGAGATGTCAGTCTCTAATAAAAATGGAAGTGTTTGCCTGTCTGGACCATTTCATTTAGTGACTTTTTCTATTCCTGTACCTCTTGTGAATATTGACACCACTCAGGGTAGGTTTTTCTAAGTTAAAGGATGAATGGCTCAGCATTGTTTTGCACATATTTAGGCTGATAAACAAGATGTTATAAATAGGGCTGTTAAGTTCACTGGATGCTGCTTTGTATGTTAGTGTTCAAATAAATGCTCCTCTCTGAAAGGTTTTATGGAGAAGCTGAATGCAGTGTCATGAATTGTCCCATTGACTTCAGTGGGACAGTACATGACAGAGAAGGCTGGCCATCTGCTTTGGCAGACCAAGGTCCTGAGTGCTGCAGTGCTTTATTAAGGGGGCAGCCATTTGCACAGCACAGGTAGAAAGCAAAGGCTGCAAAACACTTAAGCGTCTGCCCTCTCCTTTGTTGGTCTCACAAGGCTGATATTCCTCTAGCTGGAAGCTGCTAGCTGCTGCAGTATGTGCTTAGGAATGCACAAACTGTTTTCAGCTGAAAAATAGTCATTGTGAGGGAGAGGAAGTAGCAAGGATAAAGGAAACTAGCTTTTATCTGTGTGTAATAGTTCTGCAGAGCCATTTCTGAGCTGGTTAGGGGGTGAACCCAGAGCTCTTGTTGTGAGCAAGTATAGGCAAGTTCAGGCCTAGGGAGGTAGCAGGTTTTCCTTTGTTATTTTTGTTTGGGGTTTTTTGTTAATTTCTGGAGAGCTGAAAGATTTTTCCTTACAGTATTTTTATTCAGTAATTGAAGTAGAAGGTATTTATTTCTCAATAAAGAAGGAAGCGGTGTAGATGAATAAATAGAGTTCTTCCTCCTTCCCTGGGGTTTCAGGCATTGTCCAGCTCTGAATGTGCTGGTGTTCTGCACATGAAAATGTGCTTTGCAGATGGCAGTGCAGCCCTGTTTTCTGCAAATCCCCTATCGGTGATGGGGCTGGGATATGAATGTTAACAAGGTCTCTTTTGGAAAGGCCCCAGCACAGTGTAAGATGGTCCTTGGTAAGTTTCAAGACAAGAGTTTTGAAGATTCTAGGCTTTTACCTCCAGCTGTTTTTTTGTTTATTTACCTTCTGTATTTGATCCAGTTGATCTTTACACAGCAGCAGAATCAGAATCCTAATCCAAATTGTAACCTTTTTCTCAAGCTCCTGCAGGCTTTTAAAGGCAGAGGGGCAGAGGATCAGTGTTCTTTAAAGCTTTTAAATTGACAGAAGGGACCTTTGGTGAATATTTTCTTTATGGAAGATTCAGTTTGCGTGTAGTCAGCCGTAATTTTAGCTGTATTCGTGCTATTATGTGCAGTTGTGATATGTACATATGAACCCTTTTTTAGTCGTGTTACATGAACTTGTGTAAGCCCTTTGAGGGAAAAGTCCTGAGTCTTATATTGCTATGGATAAACATAGAGCTGAGAACCACATGCATGCTGGGTGACTGTGGGTGTGGGAATACTTTTCAACAAGGGATTGTATTGGAGCTTCTAGCAGGTACATCCTTGGGTATGTTCAAGGCATCCGGGGTACAGAAAGGAGCTGCTGGCGCTGCTGTTGGTTCCATTGGCCCAGCTGAAGAAGCCTCTGTGAAGACACTGCAAGGGGATTCTTGTCGTCAGATGGTGACTGGCATGTAAAAAAGTGTGTTTGTTCATCCCCCATCATCCTTCCTGTCCTGATTCCTTCAGGGATGTGGTGGGCAGCCCAGGGTGAGCTCTCCTGCCCTGCCCCTTGCTCTCCTACAGCTTTATGGGTGGACCACACAGATTTCTTTGGGTTGAAATTGTCTGCTGTGTGATGCTGGTGTTTTGTGCTTCATGTTTCCATTTCAATGGGAGTGAACACCCTGCAAGTAGTGAAGCTGCTGGTAGGGAGGTCACACAGCTCTCCTCAAAGAGCAATGGTGTTATGCAGGACAAGTGTCCTGAGGTGGGTCGAGGGATAGTAAGTGGTGGGAGGGATTTGCTGCTTTGCCATCCCAACACTTGATGCACTGAGTGCTTTCATCTAGTATCTACATCTAGCACAAACAAGTCAAAAACACAGCAGTCTTGTTCCCAGTCTGGGTGTGCTCAGGATTGGTTTTGTCTAAAGGAGAAACTGAACCTGATGGCATTTCCTGCATGAAGTGCAATGACAGATTAACTACCTACATGTAGGCTTCATCCCTCTGCCTTCCATGCCAAAAAGCCTCCAGCAAGTTTATACTTGTCAAATAAATATGATAACAGGGCTTCCAGGAAAACCACTTATCTCTCTTTCAGCCTTTTGTGGCTTGGTGCAGCTGCTATTTGTATCCCTATTATTTACTGCCACAAATGATTACATGGGGCTGAGCACAATTAGGATCAGCCTATAATTGTCCCTAAAAGGGGCACGGATGCTTTTACAGATGGTTTTCCTGTAGGATGAAGCTGACCAGTGTCTCCAGCTGCATCCATGCTATTTTGCACTGTGTGGTGACTTTAATCTTTCAGTGCTGCGCATTCAGGGTGAGAGCGTGTTGCCTTTCATTGAGCAGGAATACCAGGAGGGAAGAGTCAAATGTAGCTGTCAAGATCAAGGGATCAGAGTGCTTTCTCTATAACCTGCCCTTGGCCTTGATGTACCATTATATTGGTTGTTATCTCATGGGAACTGACTGCAGTGTTTGCTCTGAGAGGCATGATTTTGTGAGAACATAATATTTGGGGACCAGAGGGGGTCAATTGCTGGCTGAGTCAGCTGCTGATCCAGGAGCAGCACTGCGTGATTCTGCTGTAGGTGTTAAAGTCCCTGTCACTGTGCCAGTGGGGAAAAGTCAGGAGGAGTCCCGTGGGACATGGAAAGACACAGGTCAAAGCAGTTTCCAACTGATACATCTTGTTCCGCTTATAGCAGCTTCTTGCATGATAGGGGGGCAGGTATAGAAAGGCTGTGCCGTTCTCTGCTCACAGGAGGCCAGGAGATCTTTGGGGTGCTGTCCTCTCATGCCCTGAGCTGCCAACCAGAGAATGCACCTGAGAGGTGAATGCTGCAGGAATGGGGCTGTGCTGTTGCACAGGCAGCAGTACTGGTGTTCTTTCCCACCTGCCTGAGCTCAGCATGCTCAGACTGTATGTATGTTCCTTCCTTCCTGGGCTGCCTGATGAAGGGAGGCTATCCCCTTTCTCTAAACCCTTCCCAACGACGCAGACAAAGAGGCAGGAGAGTTCTGTATTGAGAGAGCACTTTATTGTGATTTTCTGTGCAGTGTGGTAATCCCGTGGGGTTTGGGAAGTGCTGCTGTAGGAAGTATTTTTAGTCAAAGCCCTTAATGCTGTCTTGTGCTTGTAGTAACGCCTTAGCTCTGCTGTGTGTTGAATACCTGGGAAGGTGTGGGCTAAAGAAGAGGGAGAACAAATGATGGGTGGAGATCAGAGGCCCTGATAAGGTGGGGAGTGCCGATGGCCAAAGCCCGGCCAGCAGCTGCAGCTGTACTCAAGCAGGGAGGTAACGCTGGCTGAGCCGGGTACCATTGTGTCAACTGGATTCAAGTGACAGAAAGAGGTAAGGTAGAATGTGATATTTTAATGTAACATATATGAAAATCAGCTTTAAATTTAAAAGCAAGGCCAGCCCAACTTGAAAGCGACCATTTCATGATGTGGCCGGAGTGGTGTGCTTGACTTGGGGCCCTGGTTTCCATCAGGAGAGCAAGAGCAGAGGTAGGAGTGAACTCTTGGTCCCACGGAAGTCACCTGTGTGTCGAGTCAGTGATTTCAGGGGAGATGGGGTCCACCCTGGGCAATGGTGGCCCCCACGTGGTCAGGGGAATTTTCTGGTAAATTGAGTGCAGCTGTAGTGCCAGTGCCCCAGAAGGCAGGTGGGGTTAAGTGGCCTTGTCCCCACCCGTGTACCCCCCTTGCTCTAATGGTCATCCATGTCTGGGTACAGGAGGAAGCCCATGAAAGTGGAGTCGTTGATGTTGTCGGCATAGACCCCGTTGTTGTCACCCTCCCCGTACACCTGGAGCCAGACCTCATCCCCCGAGCTGAGGTGCAGCAAGACAGAGCCGCTCGCTTGGTCGACGTTGTTCTTCTGGAACTGGTCATAGGTGAAGATCACTGCCTTGTCCTTCTTGTAGAGGCTGACCTTGACATCCGTCATGTAGACCGTCAGGTGGTAGGCGAAGAAGTACGTGCCGGGGATGCTGCAGAGGAACTTGCCGGTGCTGGTGTCATAGTGGTTCTGCTCGTTGTAGAAGATCTTGGTGAAGCGGATGGGGACGTTGGGGTGGGGGGCTCGGTCCGTCAGCCCCACGCTGAAGGCGGAGCGATACACGTAGGTGCTTTCACCCTTCTGCCCCTTCATCCCCATGTGTCCTGGAAATCCTCTCGGTCCTTCTGCACCTGTGGCACCCTTTTCACCTGTGTCACCTCTGGCACCTTGTAGACCTGGGGATCAGAATTTGGATTGGAATCTGTGTTTGCCCTTTTCTGCCACCCTGGTGCCAGAATTGCACAGTGACCCGCAGCATCATTGGCTGCCTAGCAGCATGGAGCCCAGTCTTTCCCCTGTGGGCAGGCTGGGTGACATCTGTGCCCAATGGTGTGGGACACCGCATCCCTCCCAGGTGTGCCAACCTACTGGTAGCTGTGTGTCTGGGGAACAATTGTTAATTGAAAAATCAGCCATCAACCTATCTCTTTGCCATAGGCTGTGTAATCTCTATTGCTGGAGGCATTCAAAAGCAATCTGGACATGGTCAGCCACTGCTCATGGTACACACCCACCAGGTATCATGTGTACTGGGCCCGGGGCTCATCCTGGGACTGCCCATGTGCACCAGCATACTTATAGCCCAAGCTCCTCACCAACCTGGCTCTCCTTTTTCCCCCTTTTGTCCATCTTTTCCATCCTTGCCATCCCTTCCAGGCAGCCCGTTGTGGCCAGGGTGTCCTGGTGCTCCTCCCATCCAGTTGGCACATGACATTTTGGGGTCAGACTGGTCATCCTGGGCAGCCACCTCTGTGCCATGTAAAGCCAGCAGCAGCAGCAGTGAGCAAACAAGGAAGCCTGCTGAGCTCCTCATGGTGAGTTCCTGAAGTGGATAAGGGTTTTGTTAACTTCAAAGTTTTAAAGGAAATAGGAGAAGTAATGAACCCCCCCCCCCCACCTTTGAATATCAGCAAACTACAGGAGGCTACAGTTTGAGTCAACACGTCTGAAGGAAATTTATTCTGTGTACCTCAGTGGCCTTTCTGTGGTGTCATATCCGGTAAGCAGAGCCAGGATGGGGCCTTTATAGCAGCGAGGATGTTGGCCCTGTAGCAAAGCCAGCATGCAGAGAAGAGAGCTGGAGAGCTGCTCTTAAGTGCTCACTGACTGTGCTGCACTGGCATGGTGGGAACTCAGAACCAAGCTGGCAGGTTTGGGGATGTCTGGGACTGGGCTCTGCTCAGTTAGCAGCCATGTGCTTGAACTTCCACCTGGCTGGTTGAACTGTTGGTTGGGAGCGCAGATTTGCATTCAAATCTCAAAAGCTTTGTTGCTGATGAGTTGTTTTGTCCCTGTGCCTACAGTATGCTAACCCCACAGTAATGCAAACTTCCTCTTTTTGATTGTATTGAATTATGATACTGTTGTTTTTGTTGTTTTTTTTTCCACCTGAATTGTGTTTTTGGATTGCAAGAGCACATCTTGCACTGCTTCTGCTTACCACAGAGTCATACTCTTCTTTAATTGAGCTGCTCTGCTCATCAGAGCACGTTTGTCTGGAACTAGAGGTGTGGGAACACATCGTGTTTAGCCTGACAAGTTGTCTCAAGGCTCTCAGAAACTGATGGGACCTTCACGTGCTTTAAATCAGGCATTCAGGAAATGGATATCTACATCTCATTGTTATATTGTCCTGCTCCCCATGCAGGAATTATTCCCTGAAATAAAAAGCAGCCCGTTATGGGGAGTGGCATGCTGAGTAAGAAATGTGAATTACAGCATGGCCACTAGAGTGCCCTAGCTCTATAATTTTTGAGAGAAATAGTATTTCAGAGCAACTCTGTTGCAGAGTTGATTTTGTTTTTCTTTTGTGAACCACTTAAATGTCGTATTTTCAGTAGTTTCTCATCTATGGCATAGCAGCTTCAATGCAAGTTGAACTGCAAAGAGGTTACCATGGATTTTGTTTCTGGATGTCACGGGGTTTTCAGGAAAGCTTCAGAGCTCTGCACAGTGACCTGGGTGGGCAGTGCCCTGCACAGGGAGCTAAGCACACAGAGCCTGGAGCCCTCCCAGCCCAGTTGGGCTCCAGCACTTCGTGGTGGGGATGAGTCCCCTCTGAGCACTTCTGGTGCTGAGAGTGCTGTGCCTGGATCAGTCCAGAGACCACAACCTGCAGTTTAGGAGTGGAGTGGAAGAGATGCATGCTCCTCCTCGATCCCCAGGGCCCCTGTGGGATGTATGTGCATATTTAGGTGCACTGCAGGATGGCTGATTTGCTGTACTGAACTTTGCTGAGTGGGGCACGCGACTCTTGGGACCCTACCCAGCTCCATGTGTTCCCCACTGCTATTCTTCTTGTTCACGAAACAGCAATTCTTTGGCATGTGAATGTCAGTTGTGCCTTTTCAGAGAAGTAACAGGTGAACTAAGAAGCTTTGGTAGCATTCAGTAAATACGGAAACTGACATGAGAATTAAAGCTCACATGCATTATTGGAAGCTTATTCATTTAGCAGCAGAAATCAGAATATCGTGCATAAGAACAGTGCCATTCAAAATTAAAGTTTAACACAGACATACACATGCACAAACTCTCTACACAAAATGGTTCAAAAGATGCCATGCATGCTTTCCACCTCCTGTGGTTCCCTCAAAGGGTGTTAGCTGGGCTATGGGGTACGCAGCCCTGTGTTCCTTTAGCAGTGGCTGCAGGCAGCACGGGCAGCACGCTCCTTGCTGCTGTCACAGTGTTGAATTGCTCTGGGTCTCAGCCCTGGGTAGCACAGGTTTGTGCCAAGGAGCAAAGCCAGTGCTGCTTGGGCTCCTTGCAGAAGGAATTGGCTCCAGAGGTGCCCCTGCAATATCTCCACCAGAGCTATGGATTTGTGTGCTGCCATTCCTGACTGCTTTTGTTTGAGGAGTTTGGATCTGCAAATAGTGGTTCTGGAAACAAGAGTGTGATGAGAGTAAGGGAGATGAGCAGTTCTTGGATTAAGATGATCATTATCTCTTCTGAGAATAAGGCTTGGAGAGGAATCTTCATGTGATGGGGGAAAGTTTGTGTGTGGTTCAGCCGAAAAGAAGAGCAAAGCCAGCATTTAGGAAGAGGGGAGAAAAGTCATGCTTACCGCTCCTGGGAGTCCTGGCTGTTGCTGCAGTCTCCTTAGGAATGGAGTCCGGACAGCACAGCACTGTCCCTAAGGGCACGATGAGCTGTTCGTTAAGATCCTCTATTTTCCATTTGCTGTTGCACACGCTGACTTAACAGTGGGTCTTCCCATTAACTTTTCCAGCTGTCACTTGTTTTTGGGGTCACTTATACTGTCCAGTTCAAAGTGTCAGCTTGTGAGAGTATCTATAAGAAGAGAGAGAGCAGTTTGGGAATTTCCAGGGAATGCAAAGAGAAGTGATGTTTTGGGGAAGTCAGTGCCTGAAAGCTGGCTTGTCTGAGGCTTGACTGTTCCAGGTGCCTGTGAACAGTCACTGCTCTGGGTAACTTGGAAGACTTCTCTGTAGCTGATGGAGAAAGGGCGTTTACGGGCTTGTATTAACACATTTGAATGTGGGTGATTTTTTTTTTGTTGTTCCAGTGTGTTCATAAATGAATCACTGTATGAGAAGTTTGTGCTTCTCCTTTCAGCAGCTGGAACTGCTGCTGCACCAAAGAAGGGAATCGCTGGGATGGGGCAGTGCTGGCAGAGCTGCACTGCAGACAGAGTTGGGCAAACAAGCTGCCTCCTGCACGTGGCAGGGCTCGTGGCAATCTGAAAGCTGGCTGTCCGGGGTAAGGCAAGGATGTGTGTAAGAAATGATTTTCTGATGTGTAGGCATGGGATTCAGCTAGGGAAAGGAGTTGTAGTGTTAAGGAATAGGGTGAAACAGGGTGGAGCCGTCATTGAGCTGCTTGTTTGCTTTCTTCCCTATTTTGGTTGAGCTATTGGTCCAGCATTTGAAGAATTTTTTACTTTTTTTTTTCTAACTTGACAGTAATTTTTCCAGGCAGGGTGAAGATTCAAATCAGTCCTCTCTCATCCAGTAACACAGAGCATAGAACTGGTTGGAGATTAGCTGACTCTCCCTGACTGGAATCTAGGCAGATTTCAGCTCCCAGCCTTCATCAGCCTCACACTCAGCCTGGCCTTGCTTGCTTTCTTAGACCCAATCCCAGGCAGCAATGATGGACAGTGAACTGGAACTTCTCCTTTGAATTAAAAATAAGCTTGGAGTTATATTTAGCCATCCACAAAAGCAAAGCAGAGTGCTCATTATCAGCCAGGCTTGGCATGGTCTGCACTGCTGCGACTCGAGAGCCGAGCGCTGTGCCCCAGGGACGCCTGCTCCGAGCTGCCCTGCCCTGTGCCCTCGTCTTCCCCACCACCCTGGATACAGCACGTACAAGAGACAACAGCCCTCACTTTGCTAAAAACAGCAAACACTGTTTATGTCATCCAGCAGGCAGGCTGACAGGCTGTAAAGTGCTATTTTGGTGCAGCCCGTGCAGAGTGGACGGATAGAGCACTGTGCAGGAGCATGGCTGCCAATCTGTCAGCCCATCCCATACACACAGATGGGCCCTTCCTGTGCTGCAGCAGGCAGCTTGGGCAGGGGCACTCCTGCCAGGCTCTGGCAACAGTGTGTTTTCCTCCTTGGGGATCGCATACAAACTTCCCTAGCCCCACGGAGTGCTGCTCGACTCCTGGCAGGGGCCCTTGACACACTGCTGCTTCTCATGCCAAAAAGGGACATGGAGATGTGTTTGTTCAGACCCTGCCAGTTCCTACCGCCTCCCATGTGGGCTGACAGCTGAGCCAGGTACTGCTCCTTTCAGCACAGCCCAGTCATGTCCAGGATTTGTTCTGGGGCAGGAAGCAGAAGACAAACTCAGAGATCTGGTGTGCAGTATGCCCCCAAAACACCCCCAGTCCAAACCACCCCACTGAGCTCTCGCAGGATTTGTCCATTCTGTTGCAATGAGTGGTGAGGCACTGACACAGCTGCCTAGGGAGGTGGGATCACTCTCCCTGAAGGTGTTCCAAAGCTGTGGAGATGTGGCACTGAGGGATGTGGTTAGTGAGCGTGATGGGGTGGGCTGGGGTTGGACATGGGTTGGACTTGGGTTCCGAGGGGTCTTTTCCAATCTGGATAATGGTTCTGAGATGCAGCGAGAGCTGCCACCCCTGGCAGCAGGTTATCCCGCTGCCTGAGGCCTATCTAAATCCACTCAAACACATGGTTAAGAGCAGACAGATTATTTATTCATGAATGATTCCTGACTAACATAAGCATGGAGAAGAGCAGCTTTTTCTGCAGATGTGAATTTTCTCATTGCCCAGCTAGCTGTGAGTTTTGGACAATAGATGGAGCTAAGAGCCCTGCTGGCCTGGATGCTGTATGCCGGGCTTTGGCAGTGCCAGAGTGAGGGGCTTTGCTTAGCTCTGTGTGGGGTCAGGTGTGGGGAAGGCAGAGGGCTGGAGGGTGGCCATGGACACGGGTGGTTTGGTGGGGATGTAGTTTTGGTGGGAATGCTGAGGCAGCTGCTGGTGGTGCCTGCCAACAACCCAGCCATCCCCGTGCAGTCCTTCCTGCAAGATCACATCCTCCTATCTCTTTTCTTCCTGTTGTGTAAATGTGCAGGAGTCATTTTTGGCCACCATCGTTTTTCCATTTGCTCAGGTATCGACCCAGGGCTGCAGGCTCCGGTGCCCTGTGCCATGCATTAGCTGCCTCCCGCTCTCTGCAGCACGATCAATGAGGTTTTATGGCATGCCTTTTTGGCAGGGTGCTGCAGGGCAGTTTGCAGGCACCGGTGAGCATCCCTGGGAGTTCTGATGAAGGGAGGCATGAGGGAGTTGCAGTGCTTCTGGGCAGCAGGTGGGATTTTGAGTTGCTCTGAGCTATCCCAATGCTTTGAGTTCTGTTCAGAAACCCATCTGCACCCGGCTTCCTTGTGTTTGGCTCCATTTTGAGACTGATGTGTCAAACCTGGGAGAAGTCACTGGAACAGCTTCAGGCTAGGCTTGCCAATGGAAACAGGATGTCAGCTTTTTTCCATGAGGTGGCAGGGTGGTGGAGCATCACATTGAGCAGAGTCCCAGCGCTGCCCGGTGCTGGCTCACACAGATGCTGATTCCTTGCTGTGCTTCTGGCACAGGTTTGAGCTTGTTTTGCATCAGTGCAGTGACTCTTTCCACTTAGACTGTCTCGGGTAATGTTGGGCTTAGAGACTGGGCTTAAATCCTTCCATCTCCTCTGTTCCCTTTTCTCTGGCGCTTTTCTGCATATCACTGCTGTGTCACTGCTCATGTGCTGACATGTGTACCGTGGTACGTGGTGGTAGGGTGGGTGGCTGGGATGCTAGCCTGCTGAATTTTGGAGCTGTTTACCCAGGGCCCTCCCTGTCCCCATTGATCCCCTCATGATGGTGTGACTGCAGCCTGGGGAACCTGCATGCCAAAGCACAGTGCTGGCATGTGCCACACACAGCTTTGTAACAGTACTGCAGCCCTGTTTAAATAACCCACAACACTAGCCCAAATTCAATTATTTTTGCTTCAAAGCACCAGTAAGGTGTTAAAGGATAACAGTGTGCATCTGTCTCCCATTGCTGACAAAGTCTAATGACCTAGAAGCAAGGACAGGGTTAATGACAGGAATTATAAATCTTCCACTGTCTGTAAAATGAAATATTATTGTGGAGTATGAGCGATGCATATTTCATCACGGAGCTGTAAAGCTGATCAGAAATGAGAGCTGTATGTTTTTGCTTTGGGCTTTCCAGGCTGTAAAACAGCACAAAGCTCCTCGGGAAGTTGTACAGGCTGCTGCATCCATGACGCTTTTGGTGGGGTGTTTCTTTATGCTCAGGAGAAAGCATTTATGGTTGCCGCAGGGCTAAAGCAAGGCCTATGATGTCTTTAATTATTCATTTTTATAAGTGCTTGTTCTCTGACTCAAACAGCCAAAACCGCGCTTTGACCGGCTTTAGCAGTAAATTGTTCTATTTTTCCTGGAATCGAATTACTTTGATCCTGCTGCAGACCTTGCCTCCCTTTCACAAAGAAGACAATTGAGTGACGAGCCTGTAACGAGTTGCTCTGGGCTATCCCAATGCTTTGAGTTCTGCTGGTTTGGAAAGCACCTGCTGGCTTCCAGCCCCACTGTGGCATCTTGTGCCATGCCTGCCACAGCTTGGGGCTGGGGAGGCTGAGCAGAGTATGAGCACTGCACAAACAGCAGCAGACTTTGTAGGATCTGGGGTGAGTGTATTCAGAGCACAATGAGCACTGCAGTGGGCTGTACTCAGGTAGAGGCTCATTTCCAAGGTGTTTTTCCCTGCATCATGGCTTGGTGCTTGGCCACAGGGAGGCCAATGCTGGGAGCCTCAGCGCAGCCTATCTGGGCTCAGCCCTGCATCCGTGCTCACAGGGAGACCCCGCAAGGCTGAAGGCTCCTCTGCAGGAAGGCGTGCTTCCTGGTGCTCCTTTATAGGATTTTAATATGGTTTGCATGTCGGCACGCTGCCCGCAGCCTCCTCGCTGTGCTGTTTTCTGTGGATTAGGTTCAACGGTATAAATTCACCTCTTTTTATACTTATAATCCCTGCGAGAGTAGTGACTTTAATAGAGACTGTTCTTTCTCTCTGCTTTGGCAAAGCAAGTGCCAGCTCCCTGCTGTGCCTCTTCTCAAACGTCGCAGACGTTCTCTGAATAGCAAAGAGAGGGGAAAAAAAATAAAAAAAATAAAAATAGAAAATATATATCTGAGTTGTTTCTTTTTTCAGATGGCTACACACAGCTGAAAAATCCCCCCCAAACACTTCCCTTTCTGACTTGTGTTTGCTCATTTCCGAGGGGCTCAGTGGCCCTGCAGCACAACCTGCCTCCTGTGGCTGTGTGTGCTGCCGCTTGGCTCTGCGTCTGCAAATATTGTCACCCAACTGCAACGCCACCCATCATTGCTTGCAGCTTTGCAAGCTGCTCTGGTTTGTGATGAGCCTGCAAATGTCAACATACGTTTGTCAGAGATAATCAGGCCACTTCTGTGCACAGTGGCTCTGTCATCTCTTGTTTCAGGGCTTTCCACCTTCCTGTCGGTGTGCGGTGCCTCTTCCACTGCCTCTAGAAATAATTGCCTTGTCTTGGTCGTTTTCTGCATCTGTTTGCCATGGTGCTGCCCAGCCCTGCCACTGCCCCAAGGCACCGACCTAAAGGAATGCTGCTCTTTCTCTCTTCTGTTTCTTTCACACAGCTTCTCTATATTTGCTCATTGCTCTCCTGTGCTGCTCGCCTGGTGGCTTTTTCCCCCTTCCTTCTGCGTGTTCATAATATGTTATTTGCAGCCCATCTTGAGCAGAACATGAACCAAGAAACATCTGGGTTGCGTTTTCCACTTCCAGTGTTAGATGCCAGCACAGATTATTTTACAGGGCCTTATATGTGATGAGAATTTAAAAACAGGTGGGCTAAGAACCACTGGAGAAAAGATGTGGCTAAGGAGTGTGGGTAGGCATCTGCACATCCCAAAGCTGCTTCTGCAAACCATTTAGGGTTTTGGTTCTGTCCCACCATAGCTTGCTGCCACTCTGGTCTCCCCAATGGGAACTTCAAGGTGGTGGTGTCCCCTGTGCCCTGCTCCCAACTTCCAGAGCAAAGCCTTCGGCTCCCATCTGTCACCACAGACATGTCTGTGCTAAGCATGGGGAAATTTTCTGTTTTGCATACTTACTCGCTCTGAACACAGGGGGAAGGATCCTTGTCTTTGAGCCATGTATTCCAATCCTTTCTTCAGGTTCTGTTTCTCAGTGTGTGCATATCAGAGGGGCAAGACAGGGGCTCACAGCCTCTCTGTGTCACTGAGGACAGCTGGGCACGCATCTCCTGGCACCCACTTCCCTGCCCCCAGTGCTGCAGGCAGCTACATGAGATGTTCCCCTCTGCCTGCCCTGCAGGCTGCAGAGCGGTGCCTGGCACGCCCCAATGAGGGGTCACCATGCTGCCCAGTTCCTCCACAGCAAAACTGTAGTTATTTTCACACTTGTGAAACCAGCCTTGCTTCTTGCAGATCCGGCAGCCTGCAGGTAGGATGCTGGTTTAGCCTTGTTGCCATCACTTGCATGCTCCTTCTCACAGCTTCCTGCTTTTTGCTTGGTTTGGGTTTTGCAAACACTTCCCTGCCCTGTTCCACTGCTGTGGTGTCACACTGCCTTCCCACCCTTACCTAAGCCCCCTGCACGACTCCTGCTGTCTTTTCCCGTGTTCTAGCAATACCTTCATTCCTGTTACATTTCTAAGCCTGGAAAGAAGGAATCAGGGAGTGATGTGAAATCCCTGGGTGTCATCAGCAACTTTGTTGCGTGCCTGCAGATGCAGTGGAACCAGTTCATCTGGAATTATGCTGGTCATCCACGGCCGAGGATTTGGTTCCTGAATGCATGGTCCCACCCAGTTCAGCCTGTGCTGTAAACAGAAGGAAAAGCTGCAAAAAGATGTTTTTTTTGTGGAAACACAGCAGAATGGCATATACCTCAGTCTTTTGAAGTCTGTTGGCCTGTTTCTAGTTCACTAAAAAGGGAGGTAAGCAATGACTTCGTTTCTTGAAAGTAAGGAGAGGGCTGGTAGGAGACTGGGCATGGATGGAGGCAGTTCTGGCACCCCTGGGCAGGGAGGGCAGGGTGGTAGCGATGGGGAAGGAAGCAGCTGCGATATTAGATGTGATGTCTTGAGAGGTTTCTCAGCCTCCCTGCTTCTGGTCAGCTCAGCCAGGCTCCTACATCTCTGTACACATGCACCAGCTGCAGGTGAAGTGATGCTGTGGCTGTTGTTTCTTTCCTCTCTCTGCAGTAGACACTTTCTGTGTTGAAATTCTGTGTTTTCCTGACTACATTACATCACTGCTTTCTGTTTTGTGCTTTCAGGATTTCATAAGTCGGTGGCACTGCTGCTAACCCCACTAATCCTTCAGTGAGCCCTTTGTTATGGCACAGAGCTGCCAGAGTAGCTCTGTTTGCATATCACCAATGGCAGGTGCTGACAGCTGGATGAAGTGCCATCACGGCCATCACGGCCACTCCCAGCACGGAGCCATTCCCCTTCCTGTGGAAGATGTGTCCCCCAAAAGCTTCAGAAGATGGCCACCAACTTTGTTGTCCCAAGGGAATGTTGTCCCAAAAGCTGTGGAAACCACTAACCCTGCTAGTCTGAAAAACTGTGGATGTGTGGAGAATAAAACAGCCCTGCAAGGAAGCATTTCTTGCCACAAGCCTGGGCTGGAGAACTCTTCTCTCATCCAAGGGAATCCCCCCTCCTTATCTCTGAGCTTCCAGGCTGCTGGCTGTGACCCAGGGATGACCTCCTTGTCCAGCAGTGTGGCTGCAGGATGTCTGGTCTGCAGGAAACAAACTTGTAAAGAATTAACTGCAGATCCTCGTGGAGAAATACGGGTCTTCATGGAGAAATACTGGTCCTCATGGAGAAATACTGGTCCTCATGGAGAAGTACGTCCTCCCTGTCCCTGCGTGCTCCTGACAGCTCACCCAGGAACACCCAAGCTGTGCTCAGTGTTACCCCAGCCACTTTACAGCTTGCAGTGTGGACAGGACTGGACTTTTCTTCCAGCATGATGCTACTGCAGATATTTAGATGTTTCAGTTACACTGTAAACTTAACCACCCTAGAAAGTGGCTTTCAGCTGCTGGCAGGTTCTGTAGAAGCAGCAAAGGGCTCATGTTCCCTACATGCTGTGGTGCAGCCTGTGGGATTCCAAGAGCTGCCTTCTTTTCAGCAGAAGAGGATGTCCTTGTTTGCTATGTTATCAGGGCTGACAGACTTTTCTGGCCTTAAGCAAGGTGATCACAAGGGGCTAGGGGAGATAAGTCATTCATATAGTCCGGTTTTGTTAGGTCATTTTCTTTCCCATTTTCTACTTGCAAGGAGCCAAAGCCAGCGGCAGCATACATCACCCTTTTGGGATGCCATTCACAAGGATTGTCTGGGTGTTAATTGTCTAGATGTGGACACTCACCTGTGTGAAGACAACAAAGGAGATGATGGCTGCAGCTGGGTGTGTGCTGGTTTTACATGAACTGAAGCATGGCATGAGAAGCAAGGCTGGGCTGCTGTCATTAGCCTGCCTGCTGATGAATGCACTGCTCTGCTGAGCTGCCAGCAAGCCCAGTTCTAGCCCTTGTTCTGCTCCAGGAGCTGACAGGAGCAAGGTGCCAGCCTGCACCCACCACCTATGCGGGCAGAAGGTGAGGAAAATCTGGCCAACAGGCTCAGTGCTGAGCCCTTCCCTCAGCAGAATCCTGGCCTCAAGTGAGATTTTTCTTCCTCATGCTGCAACCCGGTGACACAGAATTTTCCAGCAAAAAAGGGAACCGCCTTTTATTTTTTCTTTAGCTGGGGCTGTGTGTAGACTTGCATTTGTAATGTTGTCTGCAAGTGTAACCTGAGACAATTGAACCTTCTTAGGTGTTGCTGGGTATATGCAGTTTGCCAGCAGGGATTAGAGATCCCTCCCCATGGCTGTTGGTGCCCACGGTGTGCCATTTCTCCACCTGCTGAATGTGCCACATTTCTTATTGAGTGCTTACATCACAACAGTGAGAGGACACTAATACAAAATGAACACAATGAGACTCTCATAGCCTCCCTTGGCCCCAGAAGCTGGATTGGGCTGGCCAAGGAGGAAACAAACTGGCTTAACTGCTGTTTTTCTTCACTTTTGCCCAGAAAGTGTACCCATGGGAATGCGGACAGTAGGAAGCATCTTGCTCTTATGAGACCCAGGATGCAGCAGGGACAAACTCTGTTTCTTCAGGGCAAAAACTCAGCCATTGGGG